ACTATTCAAACCAATTAAACAGACACATTTCTTTGGTCCATGAGGGTAAGTTAATTAATTTTGTTATGGTAGACTTGATCAACATATAAGTACGCATTTTCTGCTGTACTAAAACACTGCATTTTATTACGTTAACATAACCCTTAGAGGAGAGACCGTTCACGTGCGAGAATCGTGGAGAATCCTTCATGCAGCGATGTAATTTAAACACGCACATTTCTGCGGCTCATGAGAGTGAGTGGAGTGATTTGTAACTACCTATCTCAATCTACTTTCAGAAACCTATCTCTTATTGTTTAGTTGCAGTTCGCCTTGTATTTCTTTACACTGCTTTTGGGAACGAAGCCATTTACTTGCCAGAAGTGTGGTAAAGCCTTCACCCGTCGAACGCGTTTAAACGCACACATTTCCGTGGTTCATACAAGTAGGTTTATTAATTTTAGTATGATTGCCTTGATCACCACTTAAATGCACATTTCTGATTTGCAAATGCATTTTGCTTTTTACCACTTTTATGTTGCCTTTAGAGGAGAGACGATTCACGTGCGAGATTTGCGGTAACTGCTTCACGCAGCGATGTAATTTAAGCACACACATATCTGAAGTTCATGAGAGTGAGTCCAGTGGTGTTTATGTACTTATCTTAATCCACTTCCAGACACTTATATCTTAGTGTTTAGCCACTCCTTACTTCTCTAATTTTACATTGCTTTTAGGGAGGAGGCCATTCATTTGCCAGACGTGCGGTAAAGCCTTCTCCCGTCGAGGCTGTTTAACCACACACATTTCTGCGGTTCATGAGAGTGGGTTAATCATTTCTAATGTGATAGCTTTGATCAGCATATTAATACGCATTTTCTGATTCACAAATACATTTTGCAATTTAATACTTTAATATTGCCTTTAGAGAAGAGACCATTTACGTGCGAGATTTGTGGTGCATCCTTCACGCAATAATGTAATTTAAACGCACACATTTCTGTGGTTCATGAAAGTGAGTAAAGTGATGTGTATGTACATATCCCATGCTACATTCAGATGCTCATGTCTGAATACTTAGCTGCAATTTGCTTTTTATTACTTTTACACAACTTTTAGGAAGGGAGCCGTTCACTTGCCAGATGTGTAGTAAAGCCTTCTCCAGTCGAGCAGGTTTAAACGCACAGATTTCTACGCTTCATAAGAGTGAGTTCACTAATTCTTCAACGATATTCCCAGTCGATTTTTGGGTGCATACTTACTATTATTCAATGGTGTTGCGGATTTTCCTGCTTTGCTCTACCTTTCCAAGGCGGGGACAATGTAAATTCCGGGTTTGATATTAGCACTTGAAGTAACAGAGGGCTTTAAAACACTCATTGCGCTTATTGGAAGTCAGATAAATACTTCCTAAACATCATCCGCAACTACATGTGCACTTTTATTGCTTGCTGTCAAAAAAAATTCATTTTTACGCCTCCCATATTCTTGGACCGTCCGATGAAATTCTAATTCATTACATTCCTGATAAGGTATCGGTTTACATGACCACGCTTTAGTTGTCACCGTGTGGTAGGTATCTTCTATGATCAAATAGATAGATTTTAGCGTTGCTAGAAATTTTACCACTGCCAAGTTAGCAGTGCTTTTTAGAATACTGAATCTTCTCTAGTGAAAATTAAGAATGGACAATTTTTGCAGCATGCGACCAGGGCATATGTTTTCATAACAGCAGTTTATTTGGTCTTTTTCAAGAATGCTGCTAGATTTCTCTTTGTTGCTACTGCTACCATTTTAGTAGTGTCACAGTAATAATTAGTTAGTCGTTTTGCACAAATTGTGGAGTCCACTGTATACTCTGCTACTGACTTCGCGGCATCGGTTCCATTTTTTGCTGTTTGTAGAAGAAATATCCAATTACTATGTGGTGCTCCTTAATGTGCATAGCAAATAAAATGAATTCATTTCGTTTTTGCTTAGATGCAAGTGTAACTTTCCTCAACTAAGTTGTTTTTGTTCCAGAACGAAAGCGCGGATAAGAATATTATTCTTTGGTGCAGATCAAGCAAACTACCGGCATGCATGCCCATGCATTATCAGCTGCGTCATGTCACACAGATCAATTACCTTATGATGGTGATGTCCGTGCTTTCCGCCTATTCTCTGCAAACAAAGGCCAGCTTGCACATCTTTAACCTTGTCTCAAGCAAATCGTTGCATACATAGAGCCTATATGCTTCGTAACACTTTGAAACTTTTTTTACTTAATCAACCCATGCGCCTTAATGGTTGGTTTTGAGTCTTTCCTTGGGGAGTGGCTACCCGTAGCGCAATGTCCTAAATTCCATTTCCTTCGCAGTCTACTTG